GTTTTTATTTACCGTATTTTTTCCATATATAAGACAACCCAATGTATAAGATGACCCCCACTTTTCTAACCCCAAATTAGAAAATTTGATCGCTGCTTTACCCTCCACTTCCTAAGCCCTGTGAAAGCAGGATCAAAGGGATGCAAAAGTGGAGGGGGAAAGCAGCAATGAAAGGGCTGCAGAATTAAAGGGCTGTGATCCTGCAGCCCTTTTAGCCCTTTGATTGCTGGTTTCACTCTCCACTTCCTAAGCCCCATGGGGCTTAGGAAGTAGTGGGGAAAGCAGTGATCAAAGGGCTGCAGGATCAAAGGACTGTGATCCTGCAGCACTTTCATCCCTTTCCCCCCTACTTCCGTGTATAAAACCACCCTAAATTTTTAGTCTAAAGATTTTAGATAAAAGTATCCTCTTATACACAGAAAAATACGGTATCTGTTTTCCTAAGGATTACTTCGTGACATCAAACATTTTTGTAACACAGACTGTAAAAGAATACTAGTCAATTGCAATTCCTATGTTTTTCAGTCAAGGTGACTAGCTGACAGATCTCTTCACAATCACACAACAGATCCTGGTTATGCCAGTTGTGGGATCTAGAGGAATTTTACTCTTGGGCAAGTGAGTAGAATCAGTTGCCATTAACATTCTTGGAACTTATTCACATTAAAGCAGTGCTCCAGACAGTCATCACTATCACAATGTCCTGAAGATGGTGATGTTTGTGAAGACAGTAACACACAGCCACCAGATTGCTAGTGATGTCCCTGGGTATATCGAATGACATTATTCCCATTTTGAAACAGCTGCACTGGATCTTTTGTAATTTGCTTCTGGAAACACTAAGTATTACTTTAACTTACATTCTAAATAGCTTAGGACTTGGCTATCTAAAGGACCACATGATTGTGCTATGATATTACAAGATTATCCTGTTGTTTCTGCCTGGAAGCCTAGCCTTTAGACTGAAGGTGAGAAGAAATGGGATGTCCTTCAGAGCCAAGGAAAGAGGCGGGGCCTTTTGAGTTGAGGCCTTCCTTCCTTCTACTTGGAACATTGATTGGGTTTATCATCGCCTCTGGTTTCCCTTTGGTCACAGCTGATTTCTTTAAAACATTTGCCTAGCCTTTTCAGATACCGTTTTAAATGTATTATCACCAAGTCATTTTAATACTAAAACCCACAAATAAATGGCATAAATAAAAGGAAGCTTTGGTCTGTGCATCTGAAGTGGACTCTAGTCACTGAGGCATAGGCCAAATGAAATGTATTTGTCTTTGCTTTAAGACTCTTTGCTGTTTTCACTGCAACAGGCTGCTCTGAATAGCATTCATTTTAAGTAATGCTTTTGACTATTTGAATTGGTCTTGTTTTTATTAAACCAACTTTGTTGTAACATGAAATAGAATTATCTAAACCAAATCAAGTGAAATATCATTGTGAGGGGTTAGTTCCAGCTCCCTTTGCTGTTGGGACCCAGCAGCCTTGTTTAATTTTTAATGTTGCCATAACACAGACATTAGAAAAGGACCACTACATTAACAAGATTGATTGAACACAATGGGCTATTGTATCTGATTTGCAGCTGAATTCCTTTGTCCATACACAGATTAGCCCTCGGTGGTATGTCCAGGTCTTTGCCACTGTAATGCTCTTAGAGAACAATTCCCCTTTGGGATATAAGTCCAATACCCCTTTATGCTAGATGGGTCTGATGGGAGTTGTGGGCAAAAATACTGGAGAGGCCAAAGGTTCAATTCCTCTGTTTTAAATGTATAGCCTTCTCATCACCGGCCCTAGGACTTTGTTATTCTGTTCACCAGCCAGCTTGATGCTAGCAACAGAAGACAGACTGCAGCAGTAGTACTTGGAAACTCCACAGCAGGAACAGATTTTGGAGCTGGAATACGTACACCAAGCTTCCTGTACTAGGTCCCTTGAGCCCAACTATTTGGACGCCCGATCAATGTTCAGTGTTGCTCATGTGCCTGTAATTTGTGCTTCTAATGCAAGGGTGTCATGTTTCCCTAGTACCCCATGTGCAACATCTGATACCTATTGTAATGGCATATTGTCCTCCATGTAGGACATCCAGTACTGTGATTGCTAGACTGGAATGTGGTTGGACAAGAGTGGAAGTGCAATCACGCAATTTTTCTCTGAGGGTCAGCAGGGTGAAGTATTTTTTGAATACTTACTGGATTCCCCCCTTTTGCATTTACTATTGCTATATTGTACATAGATGAAATATGCTTAGAAGCAGCTCTGAATACTTTTTATTTAGTACTGTATTACACCAGTACGTTCCTCAACAAACAAAGTATATTCAACAACAGGAGGAAGATAACTTCACATTAAAAATAAATATGAGAGAAACTGAAGCTGACAGAGGCCTGTCCAGGGCTTAGAGTGGTTATTTCACACATTAATTCTAAATCAGGTAACCACCTCTATTTCCCCCACCCCCCGAAGCTCATTTTTAATATCCACATTTGGCAGGCAGGCAGGTACACCAGTCATCACCATACTGTATGGGGAAAAGCGATAGCCATTGTATTTGGGCAGGATAGATGACTAAAAGGAGAAAGGTTGAAGGCAGTAAAAAGAGACAGGAAGACCAAATAGGTGGATTGAGTCCCTAAAGTAACCCACAGGCTTGAGTTGTGTTTTTCTCAGAGTAGACTGTATGGCACTCGCTAATGTGCAGTTCACTTTATTTTCAAAAGCAGTCAGTCTGCCACATAATACTAGGGTCTGCTGTCTGAGAGAACTTGTCTAACTTCCTTGGGCTCAGAGAACCTCTCCCATTACTCCTTGAACACCAGTGACTCAGGAACATCACACTAAATAGCTTGTTGGCCGTCTAGTGTTGAGAATGGAGATGAAGGGAATGGATTTCAAATGCTTGTTGAAACGGAGTGACAGTAAAACAGATAAAATCTATTTAAAGAACTGCTGTTTTCTCTGAAACCTTTAATTGGATTGCTGTTGGTTTAACTTCAGTTAAAGGTTTTGATTCAGTAGGGGAAACTCATAAAATTCTGTGTTACTAATGGCTTCTACACTGCTGTGCTGTCCAAATGATTATTGCTTTGCAATAAAGCTGCCTCCGTCGTCTGCAGACAGTATTTACATAATATGGCCAGGATGAACGCTCGTAACCACTCAAATTATTTACAGAGGAGCTTAATTAAAACAAGTGTAGATCTAAATACAGCACAAGGAAAGTTCAACGATGCATATGAGAGATGTTCCAGTACTAATGAGTTCTTTTCACCATGAATTTCAATTTATTATCTGTGTGATTAACAGGGATTGGTCATCCTAGGCACAGAACTAGAATGCAAACATGAAAAGTCTTGCTCTCAGGTTAACTATGTCCATTTTATATTACAATGTTTAAAACAAACTCTAACACAAAAATTAGGCTCCACCATTCAATGCACCAAAAGGCCTTCAGCAATGAGAATTCAGTTTCAATAACAATATAATTCCCATTGTACTTTTATTAGGCTATACATGTGGTAAACCGTGGAAAGCAAAAGGGACCAATACAGCAGTGGCAAAAAATATTAAAAACCAAACAGAAGAGTCAGATTTCTATATGTGATGTTTCCCTTTTGAAAATGTTTGGAAAGCATTTATTTGAAAAATGATCTGTACAAGATGAAGCATGCTTTAGAGACAATAGCAATACCAGTCTTGAACCAACTGTATTCTAATTTGTCTGAGAATCAGATAATAGAATCATGGAATAATGGAGCTGGAAGGGACTTGTGCAGAAATCCATGTCAAAGTGTATTTGAGAGACAGCTCTCTAACTTTCTCTTAAATGGCTCCAGTGTTGAGAGTGCTCACCAGCTTCTGAGGTACATAATTGGTTCTATTGTCACTTCAACAATCAGAGGTTTTTCCCGATAATCATCTCAAATCTGGCCTCCTGTAACTAGATCCCATTATTACAAGTCCTGCACTCTGGAATGATTGAAAACAAATCCTGCCCCTCCTCTTCACGATAACCACTCAAGTATTTGAAGAGTGCTATCATATCGCCCCCTCAGTTTTCTTTTCTCAACAGCAAACAAGATGCTAGTTTTGACCTGTAATATCTTAACACTCCTTAGAACCATGAAATTTAAAACTTTACCCTTCATGCATGAGCCTGTCAGAAACTGTTTTCAACAAAGCCCATGTTTTGTATCTAATAAACTTATGTTTCAGCATGCGAGGATGCTAGACAAAGCCATTTCTACACTGACCATGCAGCATCCTGAGGGTGGATTTCCCTCCCAAGGTAGGCCAGGTTGGTCTTGTCTTATTGAGCTACTAACCAGCCAACAAAACTATCAGGTCTTTAGTTTTAAAATGTGTTTCTCAACTGCTTTTTAAAACAATGCTCTCTTTTTCCCTATTTTGAGTTTATTGGACATTGCCTCATCTTAGTGAAAAGAAAAAAATATTTTTATTACATTAAAAAAGGTACTATCACTGTACGGTTTCAAAAAATTATTCTTCACTACAGCTGAGCGCAAATTACTTGAATACTAAGCAAATCACAGAAAACTGGAGCCATGGATTGGATTCAGATTTATATATGCACAACAGGATGGAAGGGAAGTCTGACCCATCTTCATGTTTCATGGTATCTTTTTTTTAAAAATAATGATTATGTAAAAAGAAAATCTACAAAATCATGCAAGTTTTTTTGAATATTATTTTGTTCTTTACTAATGAATTGGTCTAAAACCCATATATTCAATAAAGGATTGCTGGAAGCACCTTCCGTGAGTGAAACTCTGCTGATGGAAAAAGGCACTTCCTACGAAGACTTTCCCAGACCAGCACCTTCCTCATTCAGCAGGGTCCCCTGGCCCACCTGTGTTGCAGTGTGTGGAGGACCAGAAGGAGTAGGAAAATCTTTTTTTTCCAGCCCAGTCATATATCCACTTACAGCTGGATCCAACTGGATTTCACACACTGAAAGGCAAAACACGCAATAGATCTGGAGTTTTAGAAGTTTATTCATCTGATTTAACCCACTTTTCCTCCAAGGAGCTCAAGATGATATTCTCTCCCCATTCTTCTTCACAACATCTCTGTCACATGGTCTGAGAGACAGTAACTAGTTTAATATCATTCATTGAGCTTCCTGTCAGAATGGAGATTATGACCTCATCTTCTCAAGGCTTGATTAGATTAAGGATGAATAATGACAATCTAAATAACTGAAAATCAAGACTGCCAAAAGTTCAGCAGTTGCAACATAAAAGGGAGCTGCTCAACATACCAGTTCCTTGTGCACACAGACAGATTATACTGCACAAGTAAAATGAACAGAGCTGTTAAAAAAATTGGACGTCTTATTGCACATGTATTCACCGAATGGCTTCCTCCATTCAAATGGATGGGATAATGCACATAGGAACAGAATATTAAAACACACATTCAAACTGAGATGTAATGTACACAATGGGTCATAAACAGGGTAGGAAAGAAACAGGTTTCAACAATGATTTCAAAAATTAAGAAAAATACTGACATGTTCTAAGAATATGCAATGACAAGAAAAAATGGCCAGATTTAGAGATTTAATAATTTTGAATAAATAAATCTAGAGCAGAATGAAGATGCTTATTACGAAATATTCTGTGCGTTAGTAAAATTATGTCTGCTAAGAAAATAATCCAGCTATAATTATAAATATTTGAGTTTAACACAGAAAAAATAAAATTAAAGCCCACCCTCTTTTTCTACATTTTATATTTGTTCAGATACCATTCACCTAAAGAATGTAAAAAACCAAATTTATTCAGTCTAATCCAATATGTGACCATAAACTGCTCTACTAAAAACATTAACAGCACAATAACCAAGGTCATGTTTTACTACTGAATTTTAAAAAATTCACATTCTTCACAGTATATCTGTAGTGATAACATATACAATAACAATTTCACTATATAAGAACAAATCCAAACCACCCATTGCACTGTTAGCATCTATTTGTGTGCAAGAGAGGCTGAAACCCAGCAGGTAACAAAGGGCTGGTGTAGATACAATGAAAACTCCCTAGTCAACTTCTTGTAATGAGGATTCCTGAAATAAATCTTCTGGAGCACTGAAAACCTATCTTAAAGAAAGCCAGCATTTTGCAGGATACTGCTCTGTACGTGTGTATAAAAAAATAAAGAATCTAATTGACTTAAACCATCATTTTCAGTACTTAAAACAGAAAACAAACATTTTTATCTCAGATTTCTCCATGTAAATCAACATTAGAACAGTAGTTAGTCATTATGTACACTTCTATACACTTCCAAAATATTGTATTTCATTTCTTGAAGTAATGCTTCCCATGGAAGGTTATGTCTCTTTAAGCACACATACTCCAAATTCATTGGCTTAATTTCTGATTGACAGCTATTTAACAGTGACCAGTATCCTGATCCATTGCTCTGCCAGCACAGCAGGAGGGACATCACCAGCCAACTGCTGCTAATTAATGAGTCCTTGCATCAGTTTTGGATTGTGTGTGACTTAGTCTCAGTGTGCAAAAACTGAAGCAGGAACTCTTCAATTAGCAGTAAGAACAGAGCTGCTAAGGAACAGGACACTGTCCATTTCTTTGAAAGAACGGTTATTTTTCCTCCTTGCATTAAATATACTGTTTGATTTTAAACATAATTTGAACAAGACACTCACAGGATCTTTAATCCTGCCAAAACAAATACCACTCAGAATGGCTATTGTTTATTACGCAGGTACAGTTTTGCTCATTAAGATAACATCAAACATTGATACACTGATTTCTATCACCAAGAAAAAGTGCAAACTGAAAGTTCCTGCCTTATACCTTCAATCCTAATATATACTGGGACTTTAGTCTCACTGACGGCAATGAGACTTCTGCATGCATCCTATGTATTGCTCCGAGGTTCCATTTTGCTAACATTTCATTTAGGAGCATGGCCGAGGAAGGTACACCCTTCTTTCTAGAGACAATTCTTGGACTGTAACTTCCATTAGCCTTCATTACGGGTATACATCCCAAGGCTGACAGCCTGCTGTTCAAAACATGAGGAGGGCCACATATTTCCCGATCCCTGCTCTAAACAAAGATCAGCAGAAGGGAATCTCTAAGCACATTCCACACCATGGTTTTTATGACACTTAGGAATTAGATGCCAACACAGAGATAGTGTAAGTATCCAACATGCCATAAACTTAGAATTTAAAAATAATTTGTGTTAGAGTAGAACTTATTTTCCAAATCAAGTCTTAATATCTTTATGGAAACATTTAGATTTTCTTTTCCAGACAACTGCATGGTACCAGTACTGCTTACACTAACAATAATTCCAAAACTTGGTTGTCATTCTGCAACACACTGGCACTAAGCAGCAGCTCTAATATTGCAACTTATTACACCCAGAGTGTGTAATTCAGTTTTCCAATTTTACAGGCGGCAAACAGAATCAACAATATACATTAAAACTTGCAATACAACCAGAAAGTGAAAAGAAAGCAATATGAGAAACAATAAATAAAAAACAAATTTACTGGTGTTCCAAATGCTTCTCAAAACCAGGCATGTTCGTATTTCTAAAAAAAAATGTTCTAGAAATCTGCATTGTTCTCATGGGTTATATGAACCAGTAAGAAAATGAGTTCATTTTTGTTATCATGAATATGAATTTTAGGTCTTGAGTTTCATGCATCGTTTAGCTTCAACTGTGAATAAGGGAACCCTTACTTGAACACATTACAGAGTTCTACTTGGCAAATATTTCTTTAAAGTCTGTTATATTGGCTCATGTAATAAAGTACTGTGCATTTGCTGCAATAAGCATACAAAAGGATATTTTAATACAGTCTGCACACAAATTATTAACTTTACAGTAGTTTGGCTTTTGTTTTAAAAAAGGGAACTTTTGCCCATAGGAAAATGATCTGGATGTCTCGTGCCAGAAACAAAATGCATCAATGAAAATAAATCACATTCTTAGGCTCAACTATTAAGGAGGATTTGCCCTGGCATAGTAAAGTCCTTTATTCATATAAGTAGGAAAAAACAACACAACATTCAGCAGCATATATCCTCCCGCCTCTGCACCTGCAGCCAAATAACAGAACTGGTACAATGCCACTGAATATAGTATATGAGATTGTAGGAGTCCAGCATCCACAAGCTATTTAAGCAACTTCTTGCTCAGGGTAGTTTAGAATTTTCCGATGAGCTTGTCGCAAATATTGCTGCTGTTTGAAGTAGACCTTGAAAGCTCCTTTTATAGCAACAAAAGCAATTCCACCCTAAAATAAAAGAGAACCATTATTTCAAAACCTACAGAACAAGTTCAGCATCTTACTTTCAAAAACTTGGTTTTGTACACATACGCACAAAATTGTCAAGTAGCATTTCCTTTGAAGTTAGGCTAATTAGAGCAATTTTATACAAACATTTGAAGCATACAGTTCCCTGTCACAATGTACTACTGCAATGTTTGTCTTATATAAAAATATCCCATGCTGAGTTTACACATTCCTCTGGCGGTTTTTATACACTTGGTTTTTAAATATCAGTCTTTGCTCTGGTAACTGATTTCTAAATGATGGCTGCAATCCAAGAATCCTACCAACAATGGTTTGGTGGATTGGAAATCAGCCGCAGGCTCTGGATCTGTCCGCTTTCATATGTGCAACTTCTGTGTTTGAAATTCTTACTATAAGCTATGTTGAAGACCTAAAAGATGGCCTCATTCACAATCATCACCTGAGTTAATGGTATCATAGTGCTTTGAGCCATTCTGGAAAAACGAAGTATAAGTTGGGATACTACAAGAAACCCATCTGAACATCTTCAGGCTGCACTCTTTATTCCAGGGTATTAAAACCATATCAATAACACAAAGAAGTATGAGGAGAAGAAGCTTTTCCTGTGTTTCCCCCTCAGTTTGTTTATGGCCCCTCAGGGAGCAGTTCTTGAGGTTTTTCCAAGCACCACCACCCTGTCGCCTTTTTGCAGTCTGAGTGACTTTATCAAATCCTACATTTCTAACTCAATTCATGCTCAGATCATATTTAGGCCTCTCTCTACCCCAAACTGTCTCTTTCAATGAACTGCTGTATCTCCAATTTCATCTACGATCTCTGTGACTGCACCTTCCACTGCCATGCCACACTCAGTACTCTCAAGACTTGACTTCCACTCCTTCCTTTCAAGCCCTCCTCTCTTTCCAAATGGTCCTTAATGACTAACAATGGTACCACCCATTACGTTGAAAAGACATATAGCCTAAGGTTTATATTTGACCCCTCAGTCCTCTGATCTGGAATCAAACTGTGCCATTTCCTTCTTAAACCCCACCCCCCACATTTCCTCTGTCTATAAGCAAAAAATCAGATACATGTCCTTCACTCATATTTCTCCAGCACTCTGGTGCCAGATCACAAGACACCACTCTTTAAATCTCCACACTGGTTTCCTGTACATTCCTGGATTGAATACAAACTCAAAGCCATCCATGGCCTTCGGTGCCCCATAGTCTCTCAGCACCTATATTCTGATACATCCCGGTCCATGACTTTGCTCTTCCAACTAAACCATCTTCACCACTCTTCTCCCTCACAAACACCCATTTTCTCTTCTGATGCCCAGTATGCTTAGAGCTGACTCTCAGAACACCAGCACAAAGCAACTTCTGGCTTCTTTATAATGCCTCCTTAAAGCACACCTTCTCTATAAAGCCTTTATCAAGTTCACAAATCCTACTGTAATTTAATGGGTCAATAAAATACATATTTATTCTGTATTTGCTCCTCTCTTCACTTCCTTCTCCTTCCATATCTAACTCCCTTCACAGGTCTCCCTGTGTTGAGTTTTATACTGTGGGAAAAGTCCCTTCTTGTATTGTATGAAGTGACATGTAGACTGTTTTCATTATTACTAAAACTCGTGAGGAAAAAAATCCCTGACATAACTTTAGAAAACTCTTTCATGAAAAGAGTGGCTGGTTTTCATAACTCCAGACAGCCACTCTGACTCAGTCTGCATATTCCAAGAATATTCTGTAGCAGACCACCCCACATTGCAAGTAAGATGCCCACTTGCTCATTTATGATAAAGCTAGATGTATACTTGTACTCAACACTGTCCTTTATCCCCATTTGGTAGGGGTACAAAGAAAGTTTGTATTTCCTTATATAATGACACTCAGGACAACTTCTAGCCAATTCATGTGATCCTGATAGAGGTAGCAAATCTGTTTTCAGTTTGGACTTCAGGTCAGCATTGCTGACAAAATAATTACATGAAATATTTTTACAAACAGAAGGAGCAATCTTTATACATAAATATTTCATGCATTTTTGAACATATTTTGAACCTTTTTCTAACAGCAGTCATCAAGAACACGAGAACAATAGTCAGGTGGCCATGATATGGTAGACTGCTAATAATTTTGAGCCAAGACAGGCTCCAGATCTCCAATTTTATGAAAAATGGCATCCCGACTTATTTTAGGCATATTAACCACATGTCTATACATTTGGTTAATATAGTAGATGGTACCAAATGCAAGTTTTGCATCCATTAGGAACTTATTCTTTGGTAAACTTTGCTCTCTCAACTTGCCCCATAAACACAACAGATAATGTGTGCAAAGAACTTTGAATGGTCTGACATAAGTGTTACTTTTTTTAACTGAAGGATTCTTAAACAGTAAAACATATGAAGCATGTCATACTCCATGTTATTAAGCAGAATTCAGAAAAAGCACAACCAAATAAAGAGACGACAGAACACTAAAAATATGTTTTCTACAAATTGCCAGATTTACTTTTATGAAGAAACATTACATGGACTTACCAAAATTGTTCTTTGAAGATTTGAGTTAACACTGCTGAACATCAGCTTGCCAACGATTGTAGCAATAGTGGGAAAGACAAGGGCTCCACATAGAATACGAGTAGCAGAGACATGATCTGCCAGAGGGTTGGCCTCAGCTGGAATACGAGGAACAGGACATCCAATACCTAAGGAAAAATGCCATAGCTTTTTTTCTACGAATTAATGTGCACTAAACCACATTTGTATTATAAATTTAAGGTTTAAATTCCAATTAACTGTTCAATTTAATAATTTGGCTGTACTCATATTAACTTTCCTCCTGCAACAAAGCCCATGAAATAATTTATGGTAATTTATGCCTGACTTCATACTCCAGATCACTGGTTCTCAAAGTAGGATATATACCCTTGTAGGGCTTCTGTAAAGAAAATTCTGGGGGAGGGGAAATGAGGCTGCGAGATGCATTAAATGTGTTTCCTTTCTCAAGGAAAATTGCATTTCTATCAATCTTTTGTCATAAGAAATCTGCGTATTTTTAATTTAAAATGTTTTGTGAAGTTTTTGTGTTTGATCTTAAATTATTAATTGTGTTGTGTGTTTTTTTCTTAAGGTAGGAAACCCACCCTTACCACAGTCTTAAAGAAAAAAGGTCCAAGTAATACACAGACACATCTAGCTGCCACTCCCCAACCCCAAATCCTGACAAACCATCATACACACACAACCAGGTGCAGAAGACACACATATAAACAAGGGCAAAACATGTGCTATATGAATACATGCAGCAGGTCAAAAAAAAGAAAAGAAGGAAAACAGGTAAGTCAAGCATGCACACAGAGAGAGCAGCAGGCAAAGAAGCTCCCTCTTGCCCCCTTGGCACACAAGGGAGGTCTCTGCAATCTACCTTTTCTGTCTGAACATCTGTGCAAGCTTCAAAGCAAAGCTTCTGGGATTTAGAAACATTTTTAAAAATAATGCTGGTGCATTGTGTTTTTTCTGTAGCACACCAACCTCCCAATTAAAGAATAAAGAAAATCAAGAAGTGTAGGGTAGCCAAGGGAGATGGTATGTGGGCACAGTGGGTTCCTCTTGGTATCACACTGGGGACAGTGATGCCTATGGGCACCACACGAGGAAGAAAAGTCATAGAAAGCACTTCTATAAACAACCCTTTATTGTTTATGCTCTAGTACTTCTCGCAGATCTCCACTGAGACTTCTCCAACCCAGGGCTCTGAAACTTTCTTGAACAGGACAGGATCCTTCCACATTGTGACAAAGGAAAGAGAGCTGGCAGTATTTCCTTCCTCATAAACAGAAAGATCAGCCTAGGTGGTCTGCCAGAGCTTTATAACTTTATAATCCATCTCATATGCTCCTCACAGTTCTTAATATTAAGAACTATAACACCTAAGGACGCCAAAGAAGCCAACACAATACCTGCCTTCTAACAATTGTAAATATTATCCTGAGATGTTCAAACGCCTACTCCCATCAAGTTCTACCCGTGTCACTCGTGCGAGCCAGGAGGTGAGGCTGAGGAGCCTAATGCCGAGGGAGGCCCGGAAGGAAAAGACAAGAAACCGGGCCTTCTCGGCGGTGGCTCCTTGCCTCTGGAACAATCTACCTCCTGGGATTTGCGGGGCTCCCTCGCTGGGTATCTTTAAGAATCAATTAAAGACATGGTTATTTCGGCAGGCCTTTCCTCCAGACAATCCCTGATTATCCTCTTTCTTTCCTCTCTACAGTGGACCCTTGACTTACAGACGGCTTGACTTACAGACTTTTTGAGTTACAGACTTCTCTTGCCGCAAAATTTAGGTTTGACTTGCAGACTGAGATTTGACTTACAGACCAGAAAAAAACCAAAATGGAACAAAAACGGCCTGTTACAGGATTAATCGGTTTTCAATGCACTGTAGGTCAATGGAGACTTGACTTACAGACTTTTTGACTTGAGAACCGCCTTCCAATACGGATTAAGTTCTCAAGTCAAGACCCCACTGTACTTGGTTTCTTCCCTTGTAAAGTTTTATTATTTATGCTGTTTTATATATGTATATCTTTATTATTTGATGATTGTGAGCCGCCTAGAGTGGTCCTGAGTTGGCTAGATAGGTGGGATATAAATAAAATAAAATAAAATAAATAATAAATGGGTTTAATTTATGTATTGTTATTTAAAGGTAGTTTTTAGATAGCGACAGTGTTTACTGCATTTTACCGTATGTTTGTATTGCTTTTATGATTTTCCTATATATTGTGAACTGCCAAGAGAGTGGCAACACTAATGGGGCAGCACAGAAATGGAAATAAATGAACATTACCTGGAAATATACTGTTGAGTATCTGTAGTTTATTAGAGTATTTGCGCCACAATCTAAGCACATAATCTTCCCAGCGAATCATCTTTCCCAAGATAAGCATAACTGGAATGGTGGGAAGTCCAATTAAAAGAAATAATGGGTCAGCTCTTTCCATGACATCAAGTCCCTCTTTATGGCCTACAACCTGACAGATAAAACAACAACAATATATTATCACATTAAGTAGGGCATCTGAATATGCAAGAAGTGACTATTTGATAATGGAGAGCATTAAGTGCCATTGCACTGCATTGTTAGATAAGGGTAGATAAAGTTTAAGAATCCACTGCACCAACATATTAAGTAAGACTGTGTGTCCCACAATAAAAGCATTTGGAAACACACACAAAAAAGATCTTGAGACCTACACTGGCAAACTGTTTGAACAAGATGCAGGCCAATCTGAAATGGAGTGTGTCTGTAAGAGAAACAAGTAAGTATTTAAATTAGTGTTTATGTACTTTCATGCTGGCACACAAACACTCACTAAATGATGACCTTTCTAGGCAAGGGTGGGCAAAATTCCCCTCAGCACCTTTGCTCTCCCAATATTCCTCAAGAAGGAACGCTGCCTAAAATGTTTCGGTAATTGTCGTAGCTTTCCCCACCACTACACCTTTGGTTGCTTAAATTTCTTGTGCCCCCTAAGGGAAACTTTTGCCCTGTTCTGACCATCCCCCAAATACTCCAATTTCCAAAAAAATGCCACTACATGGTGTGAGGGGACACTCTCAGCAAATACATTTTTAAAAAGAAAAATGGGTTTGGAATTTGGGAAGTGTAGGTGCAAGCTTCCAAGTTCCCAGTGTATGTGTATTTATGGAAACCACTTTCATGAGGCAAAGAAGCAGAGAATGAAATAAACAGAGCTTTAAAAATTTGCTAATGTCAATGTCCATCAAGCCATGTTCAATACAGTCGTGCCCCGCTTAATGATTACCCGTATAACGACGAATCCACTTCATGATGATGTTTTTGCGATCGCAAAATGATGTTTTAAATGGGATTTTTTCATTTTGCGAAGATCAGTTCCCTGCTTCGGGAACCGATTCTTCGCAGTACGATAATCAAAACAGCTGATTGTTGGGTTTTCAAAATGGCCACCGGGTGCTCAAAATGGCTCCCTGCTGTGTTTTTGGATGGATTCCTCACTTTACAGGCACCGAAAATGGTCGCCCCTATGGAGGATCTTCGTTTTTCAGCCCATTGGAACGCACTGAACGGTCTTCAATGCATTTCAATGGGCTTTTTTTGGCTTTACAATGTTTTCGCTCTATAGTGATTTCGCTGGAACTAATTAACGTCATTAAGCGAGGTACCACTGTATTTGTGTATTATCCAATGACCATTCACGAGCCATGCTGACTCCAGGGAATCTTTTGTATCATGGTCTTTTTTTAATTTAAGTATTATCCAGTGACCATTCACGAGCCACGCTGGCTCCAGGGAATCTAAAGATTGCTACAAGGTGACGTGTTTTTTCCCCTTTTGTATCATGGTCTTTTTTTAATTTAAACTATTCACAGGTCATTCAAGGTAAGTGTCCTCTCTCTCTCCACCTGTATTATCTCACAGAATTGTTGTAAATGTGAGAATAAAACAGAATACCCTATTAAATGACACCCTAGAGGTAGAGTAAGACATAAATACATGTGACATATATTTTAAAGCTACTGTATTTTAACCTTAACTAAAGGTTAAAGTATGCTTAATAAGTAAGCATACTTTAAGAAGCTCAACTATGGGAAACTGATCAGATTGGAAGAGCTGGTGTAGCAAAGGAATCAAAAGACTAAGCTACAAACTAGGAAGTCTTTGTGTTCAGGCTTGCCTCTGCTTATTAGGTGACTCCCGATAAGACTTTTTTTCACATAAATGATTTAATTTTATTAGTTTTTTTAAACAACTATTATACATTTAAAAACAAAACTAAAGGAAGTCTACATATACACTTAATATGCTCCCCCCGCCACTGGGACCAATGGAGACACTCTATTTTTCTTTTCTTTTTGTACAGCCCCATTCCCCTTCGAAAAATACACTGACTCTTGTGAAGGTTCACAACCCTTCCCCTTTGTTAATACAAAATCAATACATTCTCCCCCATATATCTCTAAACATATTCTTATTTGACATTCCTGATGACATTTTCTGTCAGCCTAAATCTTCCCCCTCTGCAATAGAGAGATAACAACAACCCACCTTAATGTAGTAATGAACAATAACAGCAGCAACAATTTAATATTTAGCATATTAAGGAATAATGTGATTTGATATAGCAACATGTGCTCTTAAAAATGTCGTTCAAGTTATAACATGTGAAATGCTGCTTGAACAGTAAATAAAATAGGATTTTTCATTAGCCCAGAATGACTTAATAGTGAGCAGGTTGATTAACTGGTTGATTTCCTGAAGCTACAGTGGTGCCTCCCCGATAAATGCCTTGCAAGACGAATGGTTTTGGCGATGGGGTTGATGGCTCGCAAGACTAATGTTCCCTATGGCCATGCTTTGCAAGACGAATGTTTTCCGTTTTTTGTTCCTGCTTCATGTTTGCTGATTTTTAAATGTTTTTCTATGATGTTTAAAAAGTTAAAGTTTTTTAATTGAAATTTTTGAAATCTTCAGCACAATATATATGGCTTTAAAGAGCACTTAATAAACCCTTTGTAAACCAAATTTGACTTTGTTCTGACTTTTTTTGCCCATAGGAACGCATTAATTAGATTTCAATGCATTCCTATGGGAAAACGCATTTCGCAAGACACATTTTTCGCAAGACGACATTAACCGCAGAACGAATTAAATTCGTCTTGCAAGGCACCACTGTATATCACGATGAAATGCATGAAAGAAGACAGTCCACGTGATTGCCATGACATACCACTACAGCGTTATCAGTCACCCAGTTATATAGAAGTAGAAAATTGTTTAAAACATGAGAACAGACTACAGATTAATGTTGGAAGTTATTTTGATCTACTGTCACAAACATCTTCTTGAACCTAGCAGGAACAATCTACTCAACTCTATATTGGTTCTATGGTGTGCAACACACCAGTCTGCCCCCACAAATCATGTCAGTCTGAATGGTCATTCATGGTCCTAAAGCTGAAGTAGTATGAATCAAACCAGAATATATCTCAGCTCCAAAGGACTACTCTTGTCAAGGGTAACTCAACAACAAGATCTACACAGATAATGTGGCCAATTGGTGTTTGAACCCTAAACAGGGAATACCTTTTACCAGATGCTAAAAAAGGTGAAAGGCGATACAGAATCATGGGTGGTGAAAAGACCACAACGGGTAACCAAGAGCTGTACAATATGAGCAAGAGGACTCTAAACTCGCAGGGAAAGACAACAAGATATCAAGGTCTTCCCTGAATTAGCAAGGAGAAGTCTGTCTCCTGGGAGCAGCAACTCTTTCTTTCTGATAATGAATTACTTTCTCCACACAGCTCCAGCAGACACTTTGAATCAACATGCACAGCAGTATGCACACACATGTGGGACAGATGTTGAAAAAGATATGGGCAGAAATTAGAGTACATCTGAGCCCTTTCAGAATATTTATGACAAAGGTTATTTATTGTAATATACATAGATAGGTATGCCAGATTTTTTTTATAAGATGGGGAACCCTTGACCCTCCAAATTTCCTAATATACAATCCTCATCAGCCCCAACCACCATGGCCAATGGTAAGGAACTGTGGCACTCGTAGTCCAGAACACCTGCAGTGCCAAAGGTCTCCTAGCCCCTGCTGCAAAGAGAAGAAATGAATTGAAGTGGGCTGCCAGCTGAGATTTGTGAACCTATAAGCACATATATTCCAAGAGGAAGGAGAGATCAGAAGGGGGAAATGCTCTAGAGACTGGCATTTTCCAGTCGCCTCTCTGAATTCCCTTCTTACCAAAAAAGAAGAGGGAAGGTTCTTTAGCAAATCTCTAGCAGTTTCCAGCTTGATTACAAAAATGTAACATTTAGACAGTTTATCTGAACCTGCATGACTGTTACAGCTCCATAAGTGACAGCTGTCCAGTAGATCGAGCCCACCATTATTCCAGCTGCAGCAAACGGACAGGCTTTAGAGATAAGACGATCTGCAAGATCTAAGACATAAACAACTGGGCCTGTAACATAAAAGGAGAAACAAGAGATTTTTAAGTAAAGATCATGAATTTAAAAAGTGCACAGCAAAGATACTGTGACAGTTTTGAACAAACAGGATTTTGTACAAATTTAACAAAGTGGGATTTTTGACAAACTAAAATAAAGCATAACTGTTTCTCACTAGTTGATTCTATAATCAACTTAGAAAGAAAATCTTTATTTCTTTCTGCAAACCTATGATACTTTCTGTATCCCTTTTGTTCCCACCCTCAGCCAGAACATATGGTTACAGTCTCCTGGTATTCCAGCAGGTTCTGGAATGAAGAATAGGTAACATAACCCACACAAAGCATATATGCAGTACCTTTTTTCTTTTAAAAAACAGCAAAATGCAGGTACAAAATTCATACAAATACTGCAAATACACATAGGCCAATATCCTTTTGAGGAACTCTGCCAGCATAGTAGAACTGTTATCACCAGCAGTGGCAGACAATTAAATAGTCACTTTCTTGATTTCAGTGACCATGTGATTTGATTTGGGGATACATGCAACTCATACACAATAAATTAGCACAAGGAGGAGAAAGAAGTCTGTCTCCTGGGAGCCAAAATAAACTTTTTTAAAAAAATTAATAATTTGGCTTCATGCAAAATAATGATCTAGGTCTAGGAGGTTAAGTAAGATGACCAAAGGAAATATAGCACTTTGCAAATGCTTAGTTTTCATTTACTTGCTCAAGTCAGGTAAAGGAAGATGACCAAAAAAAACCCCACAAACCTACAGGTACATATTGGATGTATGGAATAATGCGTTTGGGTAACTTTATAAATAGGATTAAAACAATACAAGAAGAATTGGCACTAAGAAGAGTCTAATTTCTATTAGGGTTAATGCTTTATTTCAATTCAGATTAAAGTGAAAGGTAATGGTCAGCAATGTTATTGCTATGGCCTGTTTCCAATTAAGAAAAAACAAAACAAAACACAGTCTGTTGTAGTAATCAATAGGGATGATAAAAGTTTAATATATTCAAATTTTGAAGCAAACCAATCTGATTTGCACATCCCAAATTAATGTGTGGATTGGAGTTAATTTATTATTTCATCCTTTAAATCTCTAAATTTTCAGTTCCAAAATATTCATCAAAAAGTTTAATCCAGAATGCATAATAAAATATACATTTGTGTTACTTATCCCCATATTAAATATAGATTAATGCAGAAAATATCAGAACAGATTTTTGAATAACTGTTGGATCGTTCAGTTGTATCTGACTGTGGAGCCAGAGGTTGGGAGTTTAGTTCCCCACTATGCCTCCTTGACAGAGGTTGGACTTGATGCTTCAAAGGGTCTCTTCCAATTCTGCAGTTCTGAGATGATGATGATGATGATGATGATGATGATGATGATGATGATGATGATGATGATGATTACTAATGCAACCAAAGCTGATCGTGACAGAAAATAAACCAATTAATGTATCCCAAACCTTCAGTGTTGATGCCACATCTAATTTATAAATTTGTCACTCTTTATTCTCTATTAATAATTGCTGTACTATTACTGTTCTTTTATGATTTGATACCATGAACCACCCTGAGAAACTCAGTGCAGTATATATTTTAACAAAATAAGAACCATGTTAATTTCCCTGAATATACCAATTCCACACATGAGAGAAGGTTCCCACAGCAATAATTGACAGACACATGAACTATGGAAAGAAGTTTCCCTTACCTAGCTTTGGAAATACTATTAAGTATTCTGCATTACACTGAGGACAGGCAACACGTGCTGTACTATTGCCTCTCTGTTTTTCATCCACCCAGCGCTGTAGACAAGTTTGGTGAACCCATTTTGTAGAGCCTCTGCATCTGCATGGTCTCACCCATTCTGCTGTCCTATCATCCTCATCAGTGGCAAAACACACCCAGCAACTCCTGTAAGGGAAGCAAAAGTCACACAGTAAGAGCTAAACAATCCCACCCATTTACATTGCTCATTTGCTTAATTTAGAAAGGGCAGTTCTTAATTCTGTGTTCCTAAGATTCAGTCTAGTAACTATTTTTATATAAGTAACAGAAATGAGTACTTAAAGTATGTGTTTGTATGTGTAAGATACCTGAAGCATTCTGTTTAAAAACTAATTAAGCAATGTGAATGTTCACAGTGCAATTCTAAGCATGTGAACTCTAACTACATTAAACACTGAACACGTTTAGGACTCCATTCCAAATTGTTTAGTATTTTCAAAGAACTGGTCTGGGTTTTTCCCTCTCACTTAATTTAATAGTAATCAAACCTGTTTTTCTGTGAAGTTAGTGAACAAGCATGCATTACATGGCAGTGTGCATTCCAAGTCAAAATACAGATGATATGGGGTTGACACCTTCAAGTAAGTTCTATAGATATTAGCAATGAGAAATCCTAAGAATGGAGTTGTAAACAAAATAGCAAGAAAACCAGTCAATTCTCAGCCATTCTTCTAATACCAAATTGGTACCAAATAATTATAATATCAAATCAGTACCAAATAATACAGTGGTGCCTCGCAAGACGATGTTAATTCGTTCCACGAAAATCGCTGTTTTGTGAAAACATTGTCTTGCAAAATGCGGTTCCCCACTGGAATGCATTGAAATCTATTTAATGTGTTCCAATGGGGAAAACAGTCGTCGTCTTGTGAAAATCGCCCATAGGATTTTGCAAAGCGCAGACCAGCTCTCAAAATCGCTGTCTTGAGAAAAATGGTCCCGAAAACACCCATTTTGCGAGTTGCGGACCTAGCTGTCAAAATCGTCGTCTTGCAAAAAATGGTCCCGGGAAAAAAACTCTCTTGCAAAGCACGGACTGGAACATCGTATAGCAAAATCGCCCATAGGGAAAACCATTTTGCGAAGCGCTATAGCGATCGCAAAAAATCATTGTCTTGCGAATAAACCGTTTTGCGAGGTAATCGTCTAGCAAGGCACCACTGTAAATGGATTTTAATCAATGTAAGATATATAGGAAACTAAAAAAAACCTAACATCCTAATGTTTTTAAAAGAAATCAACAGCAAACCAAAGTAATTTGATTGACCAAGCAATTAGTCAGTTTCACAGACACATTTATTTGTATTAAATTTAGATTTTCTTTTCAGCCAAGAATTTTTAAAGTATTTATTTATTTGTTTGTTTTATTTAAATTTTATCCTGCCCATCTAGTGCCTAGACCACTCACTACTTTAGGCAGCTTATAGCTACATAAACTAAAATTCAATAATAATCACATTTAAAACATCAAACAAAAGACAACCGAAACTTCTAATAACTGTATAAAAAATAACTGGCACAACAGAGGGTGGCAAGACAGAAAAAATATATATCAAAAATAAGAGGCTAAAATTTAAAATCCAATTTAAATGAGAAAAACAAGTAAACTTTTTCTAACCCAACAAACTCATTGTGAAACCGCTTTATTTAAATTTTAATGTGCATTTCTGCAAATGTATTATCCAATCTGAACTAAAGTCCATTCCACACAGTAGCTAAAATCTCTGTACATATCCAGTACCAGCTTGTTTATACTTTGTTGATTTTTTGTTAAACAATACAAACAAGGGAAAAAAGAACATGAAGTGCATCTCAGTGAATAACAGAAACAAAGTGAATATTCACTTGCATTGATAATTATAAATAATTTTAAATAAAATAAAATAAACAAAATAATTTAAATATATAAGCATCCCTGAGTACTTTGTAAGCTGAGTTGCCTGGAGTACTATTTTTAATGGAAAGGTAGGTAAATGTAAGAAATAACAATATCAGTCTTAAAAACCAGTCCAAAAACTGGATTATCTTTAACTAATTCCAGCAGTTTATAATCCAGATTCAAAGACATGCGGGCTGAATTTCTGAACAGAAAAAGTTTCTTCCACCATATTGCTGCGCCCTCCTGCCCTAATAAACCATATGCTAAATCACCAATGAGTCATGTACATACTGTAACACAAACATGTGGTGCATTCTTGACCTGTGGCACACTTACTTAAAGACTGTTCCCTACTGATGTAAACAGTTTTATATAGATTTCTTGGAGTTTACTCAGCTCTTTATTTAAATGTTGACTTCAGCAATGAATGCTGCTTAGTAATGGTTAATGTGTACAGGAACTTTTAAAACCACCAAGCCTCCTGCAATGATCTCAGCAATTAATTTTACCAAATTCTCTTGGAGAATTTACAAAAATCTGCAAACAACTTATTCAGCTTCTCTCTTCCTTTTCACTATAAGAATTCATTTTTCATTTAAAGCAGCAGAGTGATTCCACAAAACACACGGAAATACATTCACTGCAAGCTTTCTTTTCCACTGGTCTGATGGATAATATCTTTAGAACCAAAAGTAACTTTAAAGAGGTAAAAAATGTAAAAAAAAAAGTACTGTACTAAACTCTTCCACCTAAGAAGCAAATGATGCTTAGATAGTTATCTTCCAAAGCTTGCAATAATTATGATGGCTATTTCAGAGCAGCTAATGTGGACAAAGCTGAAAGGCTGGGCCAGTCAACTTTGCAGGTTGTCTGCAAAGTGACACCCAGAGAGGTCTAAAGTTCATTTGGTTGATAGGAAGAATAAAAAGTGACGATATAAACTTGCAAAATAACAAAATAACATCTATCATTAAAGGCTGCCTTTAGAAACTGAAAACATGTTTAATACTTGCTATACATTTGAAATATAATGGATGCTATTGAGACTTCCAAATTCATTTTTCATACGGCAATGGAACAGCACGACATGTATTTTTAAAACAATTTTCATCCAATTTATTGCTCAACAGCTATATTTTAAACAATGGATGGTCTAGAAAAAAGATAGCCTTTATATTCTTAAGCCTTTAGCAAGCTATGAATAATGAATAGCAAATCCCTTGTTTTCTGTCATCTGCTTTATCTTGTTATTGACAGTAGCTACAGCAGAAAGCTAAATAAAACCATTGACACACGAATCTTAGTTCTTGCCAGATTTTCCATTTTCTTGTATTGAATAAAACATTACCTTGATCCTAGTACAGAATCAGGTTGCTACTCAGACAGCAACCAAAATAGAAACAGCTGGCTAGGTCAAACAAAGCATAGTTTCAGAAAACTCAACCCTCAAGCCCTTGCTATCTCTGCAAAACCAGATCAAGTAGCACTTACATACTTTTCCCTACTCTTCTTTGCCTTAAAGATACCAAAGCAGGCTTATTATTCCACAGCCTTGGAAATATGATTCTCCTTTTTCATTCTCTGCACAATGCACTGCAAGGTTATTTGTCAGAAGATATTTTTACACAAGATAAGCATATCTTGGCTAGAATCCAACTGGGAATTTAAGTCAGCATAACTATAATTGTGTAGATCGTGGCGGTGAAATGTCACTAACTGACAAGATGCTGCTTGCATTCCTGGTAATGTTTCAATTACACAATATGGGGCTCAACTAGGAATGCAACTGGCAAATCATTAATTGGCAACCATTTGCTGCTGTAGTTTATGCCACTACATTTAAGTTGATGCAAGTTACTTACAGCAGTGGTCCCCAACCTTGGGCCTCCAGATGTTCTTGGACTACAACTCCCAGAAGCCTTCGCCACCACCTCTCTGGCCAGGACTTCTGGGAGCTGAAGTTCAAGAGCCTCTGGAGGCCCAAGGTTGGGGACCACTGACTTACAGCATACTGGCTATTGTATTAATGCATAAAACCGGTATCCTGAAAGTATACATACATTGTTAACTCTTCCGGAAACTCCTCAACATCTAAGGATTTTAGAGGTATGTGAAAGATTAAGTTCCACACACCTCTATTCAAGATGCTTTATTTTACTTTACTGCTTCATAGCCAATCAATTTGTGTGTATAAACAGAAGTTAAACCACTCTTAATTTACTGTTTTATTGTGTCATTTTCTGATTTCATACATGTTTCATACATGTTTTAAGATACGTACATATTTCAAATCCTTCTTCCCTCAGTCAGAAAACATATGGGATAACATTTCACACCTTCAGATTCAAAGATGGGTATAACCCAATTAGTTCTATACCAAAGAATTGGTTGTTATTTTGTGTCCTTTGTTTTGAGTGACAGCCTACTGTCAGATTCTTTTAGTAATCAGCATATCCTACATTACATATGCACCACATGGCTACTGTTGTGGACAATAATAACTTATAGGTGGATCCGATAAGGCTGATGAAGGAAATACTCATAACTCCCTATCCTTGATTTATGTACCTCTTGGTCATTTACAAATAGTATCTTCAAAAGCAATCTGAGAATTAAACAAAGTGTCACTTTAATTTTGTACAGTGGATGAAACAGGACTAGTTTTGCACTACATTGCTTTTTCATATGTCATATAATAATAACCTTAAATTACTAACAGTTCTGATTCATCTAGACATTTACAGCAAACACACTGTTTTCCCCCATATACAAAACAGTCTCTAATTTGCATTTTAAATTTGGAACACTAATCTCCAGAAGAAATTAAACATTGGGCAGAACCATGTTGTTGCCAGCATACGTGTCATGGTATAAATTGTGATGATGAATTGCTGCTAATGAACAAGTTTCTATTTTCATGCCTGGGCCAATCATAAGGCTAGGAATGAGAATAGCAACTTGTTCATTAGCAGCAGTTTCATGCTGTTTCATACTGTTACACTTGTGCATGTGTAAATCTCACTGTTGTGTAGCTGTCCACAGAATGTTCCCAATAAAAATAAAATAAAAATTCAATTATTCTCTTTACACATTCCTTTCCTTTGCCTTTTCTATAAATACAGGTAGAAGCTATGCACTTTAGAAGAGGTGAAATCAACAAGTGGAAAATGAATGAGTTGACACTAATGCTCAAACTTATTCTCCGCTATCAAAATTTGCATCATATACCACAAATAGATGCATGTGT